CAAGCTACGCTAAGCTGTACATGCACCATGCGATAACGTAAAGATCTCTTAAACCAATATGTGTGAGTTGGCGGGCGATATTAATATTTGTGCCCCGATAATTGTACTGGTGGTAGGACCTCTTGTGAGTCCGCACTCCTACTAGGACCTTAGATCATATATCTCAAGGTGGGTGGCGCATTTACATTGTAGATGTCTATGGGCTCCAGTAACCACTTAACACCAGGTGGGCTGTGAGCTCGTCCACCCATCTAATCAATAAAAATAAAAACTGCTTATATGGGTTGATGGTCTCACGGCCCACCTTATTTTAAGGTGATACTGGAGCCCATTGACATCTACAACGTAAATGTCGCCACCTACCTTGAGATAGGAGTTATTCTAAGGTCTCAGTTTTTCACAGTACAACGATTGCCCCACTCTTCAAACTGAAACGCATTACTGTTTCACGGCAGAAATAGTCAGGGTGGTGGTACCTACCAGTGCGGACTCATATGACGTCCTACCACCATTAACGACGCAATTATATCGAGTCATAGCTTGACTTTTAAAAGCTAACGCTTTTGAATGGAGTATACCACGAGAATAATTGCCACTATAATATTTAACACATTTTCAACTTACAACACACGAATTGAGACAGTAAAACGCCGTCATGTAGGCCATTGGTACAGTAGCGGCTTCTTCAAACTCCCAATGATCAGGAATCGGCCACAGAAGATCTGGACGTGCGCTCACCGTGCGCTTACATGAGCCATCAACCACAATACCCATGACGCGTTCGCCACTGAATTAGAAATTCATTAACATTCTACTAGCAAACTAGAAATTAGACGTATACTTATGACCATGTATATTCAGTTTATTTCTGTGCTTACGCACATGACTTTCATATATCATTTACAGTTACAGAATAATTTATGATATACTGAGTCAGATCATATTCCCAATATTATTCTCCACTGCACTATATTATATTTCTACAGCGAAAAAATCTGTTGAAAGAATATAACATCTGTTGTACCTGGTTTTAGTATTATCTATAAACGTATTTAGTATTACTTATAAATTATCTATTAATAAAAAGTATACAATCATAAACTCATTGGCGGCTTATGCCTGACAGAGGTAATTTACCTTTTTGTAACGCCGCTAAATTCGAAACCAAAATGATTTTCATCTGAATCAGTTCCTATTGCAGCCTTATTCATCATACCTATGGCCTTTTCTACATCTAGTCTCGATATGCTAGCATAATGCACCTGTGATAACAGCATAATATTTTTATAGTCAATGTTGGTATGAATAAAGAAGAATTAGAACTGAAAATGTACCTTGACTTCAATTCCAGAACTGAAATGTTGCGAATCTTGCATCCACTGCAGTGAGTGAATGTTTCCAATCTTAGAAGTTTCCAGCTTAAAGTTGTAATTAAATTTTTGTGGCAAAGGCGTGTGGCAATTGCTTCCTAACAATGCACTCTGAGAAAATGCGACCGTTTAGTAATATGTATGTATTTAAATAGGAGATGAAGATCAGTCGGCCGGGTATCCACCAGGCGCAAACTCGGGTCGAGCGGCTGCCTCGCTCCGACGCCGCACAAGTGGAGACGCTGCCTAAATCTGAGGCACGCCCCGACAGGAGGCAACTTTGTTACCGCGAACCGAGCCATATTTTGTCGGTTTTTTGCCGTGCTCAAAGGGTCCTCAATCCGAGCCGTGTATTTGATGGAAACGGGCGTGCCTCAAATAGCAATTGACAACGAAACTGCTATTAAATTGATAAAATTATATGAGCGTCACCGTGTTTCTGGGATACGTTACATAAAAAATGTGAAACAAAATGCGTGGAACGATATTAGTTTGAAATTGGGGATTGCAGTAGACGCTATCGAAAAGAAGATTACCAGTCTGACAAGGTCATATCGACGAGAAAAATCACGACACAAAAACAGCCTTATCACGGGATCTGGTAATTTTTTTGTGCATTCTGTAACTAACATTTTTAGGTTATTAGCAACTAAAACAACGCTGCTGACATATGTCGTATATATTTTAGAAACAGGGTCCAGGAATGAATGACGAATAATAATAAAAAATAACATACGCGGCATATAAGTTCAAAATGGCTGCTGTCTGCACATATATAATTCGGAACAAAAGTGTTAATAGGGATTTTAGTGGATGACTATTCAATTTATATTTTAGGTCAACTTACGTGCCGCGTATTTTACGTGTGTTTATTAATATATTTTATTTTAATTACAGGACGAGACGACATCTATAATTCAAAATGGCTTGCCTACTACCATTTCGATTTCTTATCAGATACCAGATATGATGGCACCAGATGGCACCAGTCGCGCACCTGGTGCCATCGCGTTTTCGCTTTCAACTGCCGGATCGAGCTGAGGCGACTCGCCTCGAACTGATCCACAACGTGCCTCTAGCCTTTGTCTCAAAGCAAACAGCCTCAGTTCAGGCTGTTTGCTTCAAGTCGAGGCTGCTCGACCCGAGTTTGTCTCTATTGGATACTCGGCTTTAGAATTATAATTAATTTAGTTTTTTCCTTTATATACTGACTTAAAAACACTTTTCATGTCAAATGACAACCACGTCATTGTTCACGTTATCCCCCCGTTGGGGGTCTGTAGCTTTGTGTAATATATTTGCTATTCGAGGTCTTAGTGCGCTTGTTTTAACTCTGAATGTTTTTTCCGGTCCCGTAACAGAATTAAATTCTATCTTAGGGCCGTTGGAAACGCAACGTTTATTTATTTACCAATCAATTACTTACATTTAATTCGCTCTTAACGCCTGGTAAAAAGTTTAGTGTAACGGTTTTTTCTGTCAGGTGTGGCAAATGATGGAATGAAACTCCCTGTAAAGTCACACCTCCACATCTGCAAATACGTAACACTTTGAGATTAATTTCACATAAAAATCAATGGCTGTATGTTAGCTGTATGTATCTGGGTCTAAGGGGATATCTCAAGACTGAATCAACACATTCTTCGAGATAATGGAACAGCACGATGACCCTCTTATTATATCCGCCGTAAGTTACATCCTCGCCCTTGACGACGCCGCGACGAGGCAATGCACAGCTGCCGTCGCCCTAGACATGTGATTTTCGATCCTCCTGATCCACCTTCGGTGATTTTACAAAATCAGATTATGGCAATGCATACAACCCATTTGACATGCGCGCAATATCCATCTATTACTGATGGAAGGACGTCTTGTGATGCCGCACGTGTAGATACCACCCACCCTACCTATTTCTGCCGTGAAGCAGTAATGCGTTTCGTTTTTTTTTATTGCTTAGATGGGTGGACGAGCTCACAGCCTACCTGGTGTTAAGTGGTTACTGGAGCCCATAGACATCTACGACACAAATGCGCCACCCATCTTGAGAAATAAGTTCTAAATTCTCAAGTATAGTTACAACGGCTGCCCCACCCTTCAAACCAAAACGCATTACTGCTTCACGGCAGAAATAGGCAGGGTGGTGGCACCTACCCGCACGGACTCACAAGAGGTCCTAGGTTTGATTTTTATTACGCGATGTTATTCCTTCACCGTGGAAGTCAATCGTGAACATTTGTTAAGTACGTATTTTATTAGAAAAATTGATATCCGCCTGGGATTCGAACACCGGTGCATCGCTCAACACGAATGCAACGGACGTCTTATCACTTAGGCCACGACGATTTCAAAAGGGTTTGAAGGGTGGGGCGAGACCTTAGAACTCATATCTCAAGATGGGTATCAGCGGCATTTACGTTCTAGATGTTCATGGGCTCCGATAACCACTTAACACCAGATGGGCTGTGAGCTCGTCCACCCATCTAAACAATAAAAATAAAAACTGCTTATATGGGTTGATGGTCTCACGGCCCACCTTATTTTAAGATGATACTGGAGCCCATTGTCATCTACAACGTAAATGTCGCCACCTACCTTGAGATAGGAGTTATTTAAATTTTTAAATGATTTGAAATATGTTGGTTTTTTAGAAGTAGAGGCCGCTACATACTTTGACTCCAAAGATCCTAACAATCTCATACACTCGACTACGCCAAGCTGTAGCAAGAGGTGAAATCTATGCATCATATACTTTATGAATGTATAATCTAAAGAGTTCAAGATGGGACATCTTAGTCATAAGACATCTAGTAAGCATTTCGCAGGTAGGTCGGCTGCTTGTTATGTAAGTATAGAACTTACGTTGTAATCTCATATTGTTTGAAAACACGAGCCTGCACTACATTCTTGCCATCAATGTTCGTGATATGCTTCTCGTGTTCAGAAACATTTATACTCAGATTTCTAATTTCTGTGGGCTGTGATACTCCAACGTGTCGTTGTCTCAATACATTAACTTGTAGTAGACCATCAATAAGTGTTACCCAATTGTTCTTCCAAAGTATTGAAAATGAATCTAAAGCCGAATTTCCTTGATGTATAGTCTGGAAGTCTTCGCTGTAATGATAAATAGAACTAATAACATTACATTAGGATAGCAGTATCTAGGAGCAATACTTTTTTATTGCTTTTGAAGGCTAAAAATATACGGTCCTCATAACGGTGTGTGGTTACTATTACTCACAGATGCCAGTAACATCAGGGACATGTCACTGCCTATCTCTGAGGAGGACGAACATGTTCTAAAAGTCAGAACGAAGGAGGCAAGGTGATTCCAGAGCACTGTGAACGAATATAGGGAATCCAGTTTTTCTGTTCGGTGCGATGCTAAAATAACTTTCTAATTAATAATGACTAGCGACCCGCCCTCGCTTCGCTTCGGAAACATTAAAACACACATGTAACCAAAAAAAAAATATAAAAAAAAATTAAAAAAAAGTAGCCTATGTTCATCAGGGACAATGTCGGCTTCTAATGGAAAAAGAATTTTTCAAATCGGGCCAGTGGTTTCGGAGCCTATTCGAAACAAACAAACAAATCTTTCCTCTTTATAATATTAGTATAGATATAGATATCATAACACGAAGACGTATTTATGAAACTATTCAATTACACAAACAGATTGTAATCTACATATATAAACAGGTTTGGGATAATGTTATTTCCCCTAAGGGAAAGCTTAGTCAGTACCTATACAACGTATTGCATATACGTAAGCGAATTGATGGGAGATGATGCCGCGAGTTTCAACTTATCGCAAGATAATGTTTAGTACGCACTATCCGACTCTAGAATCAGCTCGAAATCACTTTACCATACTATATCAGCTCTGATATAGTATGGTAAAATGTAGGGGCTATGAACTTTCTGGCAAAAAGTTTAGCTAAGAAGTTTTTTTTTTTTTAATGATTAAAAGATTACTGGTGGCCCGGAGGCCTTTCCAGTTTCACCAGGACAGATGGGCGAGCAAAGGCTCAGCCAGGAGGGGTGGGATTTGCCAACAGCTACCCGAGCGCCTCCGAAGGAGACCTAACAGCTCAAGAGTAGCTGCTTCGCGAATGAATCTACTAGCTCAGCGAGCTGATTCATGGGTTAGGTTGCACGGCGAACTCTTTGTCGAGTTCGACGAGTACGGTTACCGAGGTCCCTAAGCCTGCTCCTAGTGTTAGAGCTGAAGGCGTCTAATGCAAAGGTTATTGGATCTGATGGATCCGTAAGGACGTGTCTAGGGCGTCGACGGTGACTGGCTCCTGCGTGATCAGGATTCGGGGAGTAGTCAGCGGCGGCAACGATAAGGCGATTATCATGACGCATAGCCTTATCGAAGTACCGTTCCGACGCTGACTTCATGTATTTCTGGATAGATTCGAGGCCCAGGTCGTCGTGTAGGTCAACGTTCCTCACGAACCACGGAGCTCCGACGGCTAACCTGCAAAAGCGGGATTGTAGAGATTGGAGGGTGTCTATGTGTGTGCGGGCCGCGTGAGCGAACACCACACTCGCGTAAGTCATGACGGGCCTTATGCAAGTTTTGTAAAGTGTCACCTTGTTCCGAAGGGACATTTTACTCCGCTTACAGATCATGGGGTAGAGTCTACCGAGAATAAACGCGGCACGGTCACGGACTGATTTTATATGCGGGCGGAATGTCATCGATGCATCCAGGGTAACGCCCAGGTACTTGACCTTCCTGGCCCAGGGTATGGGTTGTCTAAAGAGAGTAATCGGGGGTGTGAGATTCCTCCTCCTAATCCGGGAGGAAATCCGTGTGGAGCTTCCCCTCTGAAATAGCACCGCAGTACTTTTCGCTGGGTTGATGTCTATGCGCCATTTTCGGAACCACTGTCCTAGGGCTAGGGCTGCGCTCTGAAGCTTCTTCGCGATTAGGGACTTATTTCTACTAGAATAGTAAACAGTCGTGTCGTCGGCGAATAAAGCTAAATGGGTCGGCGGCGACCGGGGAATATCGTTGACGAATAAGCTAAATAGGAGGGGTGAGAGGACAGAGCCTTGCGGGACTCCAGCTGTGAGAGGTCGTGGGGAGGAGCGGGTTCCCTCGACTCGATATCGAAAAGAGCGGTTCGACAAGAAGTCCCGTATGATGAGCACGAGACTATCCGGCACGCCCATGTTGAATAGTTTGAAAATCAAACCATTGTGCCAGACTTTGTCGAACGCTTTTGCGACGTCGAAGAAGAGAGCTCCCGTGTATAACGGTTTTGGTCGATTAAGCCCCACAAGAATGTGCTCCGTGAGGCGGTGCACCTGTTGAACGCATGAGTGATTTGTACGGAATCCGAATTGTTCATCGATGAGAATGCCCTTGGATGAGACGAAGTCTCTGAGGCGTTTGTAGAGCAGACGCTCATACAGTTTGCCTAAAGACATGAGGAGGCTAATCGGGCGGTAGCTCGTCGGATGATTTTTTGGTTTACCCGGTTTATGTATGCCGATAACGTCCGCTTCTTTCCACACCGCGGGAAAGATACAGTTAGCCATAGCGGCATTGAAAATAGATGCCAACATCACGATGAGTTGGACGGGTAGAAGTTTAATAACGCGGTTGGATATACCGTCAGAACCGGGAGCCTTGCGAGGACGTAGGTCTTTGATCAAGTCTTTAACTTCCATCGGGGTGGCGGGTGGTAACGCATCCGAGGGTGGCAAGGAGGCTCTGTGTTCTACCTCCATGTCTACTAATTCTACATGAACAGGGTCCACGGATTGAGTGCTGGGCGTGCACTGGGTTTGCAATGTATCGGCCAGCAGCTCTGCTTTTTCGTCATCATCGAACGCCGCGAGTCGGCCTGAGGGGCCTACGAGGGGGGGCATAGTTACTACCGTATCCGATTTGAGAGTACAAGCTAAGCAATAGTAAGACCTTCGGGAGGGCGCGAGTCTTTCTAAAAAATCAGACCATCCGGCATCTCGGACTTCGGCGATGCGAGACTTTACGTCGCGTTGTAGGGCACGCATTCGAATACGATTTTCCGCGGTAGGATACCTGTCGTAGGCGCGTATCGAGGCGTTCTTAGCTCTATGAAGCTCCCTAATATCGTCGGATAATTTGAAGCGGTGAAGGAAGTCCTCCGCTACAACTTGTTTCGATGACCTGTCTAATGTCGAGGTGATGTGTGACGTTAAGATGTCTATGGCTTCAGCGGTATCCTGAGGAGACGGGGTAAAGTCCGGGCTAAGCGGGAGCGATGGTGGATCAGATTCAGCCAGGCTGATGCCCAGCGTGTGCCAATCCACCATTGTCCTCGTGACGGGAACGGAATCGGGAGCGCGACCGAGCTTCATAACGACGGGACGGTGGTCTGAATCTAACTCTGAAACTACTTCGATCGTGTAAGCGCAGAGTTACGTTTTTTAATAACGCTATGTCGAGTATATTCGGGCGATGCGCGATATTTAGCGGGTAGTGAGTCGTGGTTAGCGGAGCGACGATATTTAAGGCGAGATCATCGACTAACGCGTCAAGCCGCCTACCATTCGGGGTTAGACTAGCCAAGAAGTCTCGGCGATAACTAGCGTTGTAATCGTGTCTTTAGGTGCCAAAAATAAGCGACGGTGACCAGACACGATCAGAATCGGAATCTGCACATCTGCTATCGTACTGACCTACATTGTTAGCGTACAATTCTGAAGTTCTTTAAAAACGAGAAGCAAACATTAGTATAATCTATAATTATTCAAATAATACAATTTAACAAATTCTAGGAATACAAAAAAAAAACTACATTCTAAGATTATTGTAACAGATTGTACGTTAAACTGTAGTGACAGCTTTGGATTGCATTCAATGATACTTCTAGCATTGAAAAAATTTTTGTCGAAGAAACAAAAACACATCGTATGAAGTTATGAAGTAAAAAAAAATATCATGATCATGGCACTATTAATTTACAATAAAAATTCTGAAACTTAAAAAAATACTTACCCGTAGGAATAATCGCGTACGTTTAAAAGTTCATAAATATCATTGCTATTTATTTCCATACCATTCCGTTTTAATGCAGTTTCAGTCGTAAATTTGTATACTTCTTGAACGTTTGTGATATAACCCGTTGCCACTTTAATAAATTCATCTAAAACCTAAAATCGTAATGGACTATATTTCTTTGACGTAACCTTCGCACGCTAAGTGATTCATGGCCAGATGATGGGAGTGAGAAGCTAAGAGCGGATATAACTTATGACAACTCTGTTTTATATACTGGTCATGAAAAAATATTTAATCGCTAAGATTGGTGAAACAGTTGATACGAAACATCAATACTAAACTTGAAGGCATATTGAGAGAGCAACGCATTCTCTCAATCCAATGCCCAGAAAGAAATCTGAATAACAGACAAAGCTGTTAAAACCTTCGAACTCGAAACTAAATTTTAAACCTGAAGGAACTTTCGATTGTAATGGTGACAACTTCTTCAAGATTTAAAAAAAAATGTCTCATAAGTGGTTAAAGACTATGTCGAGCGCGGTGTTCCGCAGGGGTCTGTCCTGGGCCCCCTGCTGTGGAACATCGGCTACGACTGGGTCCTGCGGGGCGTCATTCGGGGTCCCCTCCCCGGGCTGAGCGTAATATGTTACGCCGACGACACGTTGGTCGTGGCTCCGGGGAGGGACTACCGGGAGTCTGCCCGTCTGGCGTGCGCAGGCGTGGCACACGTCGTCACCAGGATCCGACGGTTGGGGCTCGAGGTGGCGCTCGACAAAACCCAGGCCCTGCTCTTTCACGGGCCGGGACGAGCGCCGCCTCTGGGTGCCCACCTCGTGATCGGAGGCGTCCGCGTCGGGGTCGGGGTGACCGGTCTTCGGTACCTCGGCCTTGAACTGGACGGTCGGTGGAGCTTCCGCGCTCACTTCGAAAAATTGGGCCCTCGGCTGATGGCGACGGCCGGCTCTCTGAGCCGGCTTCTTCCAAACGTCGGGGGTCCCGATCAGGTGGCGCGCCGCCTCTACATGGGGGTGGTGCGGTCGATGGCACTATACGGCGCGCCCGTATGGTGCCACGCCCTGACCCGCCAGAACGTCGCCGCGCTGCGACGTCCGCAGCGCGCGATCGCGGTCAGGGCGATCCGAGGATACCGCACCGTCTCCTTCGAGGCGGCGTGCTTGCTCGCCGGGGCGCCACCCTGGGACCTGGAGGCGGAGGCGCTCGCTGCCGATTACCGGTGGCGTAGCGACCTCCGCTCTAGGGGGGAAGGGCGCCCCGGCGAAGGAGTAGTTCGAGCGCGGAGGCTCCAATCTCGGCGGTCCGTGCTGGAGGCGTGGTCTCGCCGCTTGGCGGACCCGTCGGCCGGCCTCCGTACCGTCGAGGCGGTCCGTCCGGTCCTCGCGGACTGGGTGGGCCGCGACCGCGGATGCCTCACCTTCCGGCTGACGCAATGTTACCGGCCATGGTGTTTTGGCCGGTACTTGCTTTAAGATAGCCGGAAGGGAACCGACGGCGCAGTGCCGCACCACTGTCGCCGGACCGCCGACGAGGAAGACACAGCGGAACCACCTGGCGCGTTGCTCTGGATTCGACGAGCAACGCGCCGCCCTCGTCGCGGTCATGGAGTGGACCTCTCGCTGCCGCGCGTCGTGGCTACGATGCTCGGCAGCGACGCGTCCTGGAAGGCGATGCTCGACTTCTGCGAGTCCACCATCTCGCAGAAGGAGGCGGCGGAGCGAGAGAGGGCTTCCCTTTCCGCACCGATCCGTCGCCGTCGAGCCGGGGGCCGGAGGCGGGAATACGCCCGTACGTCCCGGCCCCTGGTGCGGCCCCCGGTGAAGGTCAAGGGGCGACCTGAGGGGGTGAGGCCGCGCGGCGCGCTACCAGCACTCTAGCGCGCTGCCGTGGAGTGAATAGAGCGACCGGTCGACGGTGTATCGCGTCCCGACCCGGCAGGCTGGTTCTGGTCCAGCGGGGTATTCCGGGACACCAGCGGCACCGTCTGGGC